TCCATATTTTGGCCTTATTCATGGAATTCGATAGAATCACCGGGGAGGCAGCAAGGACCAGAGGTTGTCCCTTGACGTTTTCCTGCTGGCGCTCGCGCTGCGGGTCCTGCGGGGCATTACTGCGCCGCGCGTACGCATTCTTCGTGTCAGCGCTGACAGAGGCCAGCTGGGGAGGTTCAGAGCGGCGCTGGATTAGATCCCACTCCAGCGCAGGTCTCTTCTATATTGGCTAGTTCCATCTCCAATCCCTTTCCGTCTGGCTGGCATCAGGGAGCGCTTACACACGTTCTGCCGCCTCAGTCCAGCTTTTTTGTTGTTCCTCCCCTCCGTTCACCCCCGCTTTTTTTCCCTTTTACTGTCACAAATGTCCACAAGGAGACGGCCATGAAATCCGTGCTGATTGGAGTGATCCTGAAGGGAATTTCTCTGCTAGCAGGTAACGAGATCCATACAGTAGTTGCAGCGTGTCCTGAATGTTTGCGTGCCTGCCCAGGGCAGGGAGCTGGCTGTGCGAGTCGAGGTAGCTGGAGGCGTGAGAAGGAACGAGGATTGACTAGAAAGGAAGAATGTTTTTATTTTGAAGAAAAGTTTTGTTTTGAAAACTGTAGGGCAAGGAATTTCCTCATGGCCGCGAGATGAATGCGGGGCCGTCGGCACGCTCTGCGTCTTCGCTACGGTCCCGCCTCGCTCCGTGCAGGAATCGAATCCGGGGTGCTCCAAGGCACGGGTCCTCGCGTTGCGCTCCGCTGCGCTTCCCAAACACCCAGATGCGGCCCCGTTGGCTCTGCGAAACGCTGCGTTTGCTTCCTGCGGATGCTTTTCGCTCTTCTGTGATGACTTCAAACTCCTTTATTGAGAAGTAGTTTTTGTTTTAACTCGGAGGACAAACCCTTTGCTGGCCTACGCACTTCTCCACCTCCCCCCCGCCGTCTCCTTGAGTGGTAGTGCGCGGTGGGAGAGAGGTCAAAGCGGTGGGTTGCCATGGAAATGGCAGTAATTGTGCAAATATAATTGTGTCGGGGTCCGTTTGTTGCGGCTAATTCTCTCTCTCTCTCCCCCCTCTCTCCCTCCCCTCCTTTTTTCTTTTGATAATAATAATACAAACCCTAATTAGGATGCGCCAGGGAAAGGCTGCTGGGAATTCAGCTGGCTTAGGGGAGAGGGCAAGTCGGTGCTGGCCGGGAAGCCCCACTGAACTCGTGTGTTTCTAGATTGGGCCCGTGAATAGAGCTTGTCCTTTTGAATTTTTTTTGAGTGTGACAGCTACATTAGAATATGTCTCTTTCTGTGCCCTTGCTCTTTTATCATGCCATGTATCTGCGAAGTATGATTCTTACGCTGAGGGTAATGAATCTTTGCTTACTGCTAGCAGTCAGTAAATTGTTACCTTCATTCAGAGAACGGGTTTTTGTAACGCTTGCACCCGTGCAGCAGGACTGTTACACCACATCAGTAACGCTTTCCAGTTTAGAATTCCGTGAGCAGATTTGTATGTGAAAACAGCGCCGGCTCTTCAAGCTGGGCGACTGCGGAGTGTCCGCTTCTGGCCCGGCCCCTGTGGGTTGTTGGCTTGGGACTGTTACCTTAAACAGCACCAAATTAGCTGGAATGTTTGAAAGGAGCAGCCTTTAAATAACACTTGTCCGATTTTCTGATAACAAGTGCCGCTGATCTGCGTTCGTTAGTCCATGTAAGAAACTCATTAAACATTTTCAAGTCTCCTAATGCTGTAACGAATCAGCCTGGTGAGTTCAGTAGTGAACGTTGGAGCTGAGATGTTCAGAGGGGGCAGAGGAAGACGCTGTAATTGTAACTTGGTTTTCTCAGATGGATTCGTCAGCCCCCCCTTTTATTTTTTTTCAAAATACCTGAAAAGGGATGCCTGACCTTCTCTTAGAGAAACAAATCCGTTCTGAACTTCTTGATGTTTCCAGTGGGTTTGCAAAGAGGCAACTGTCCATGTCTTGGAGAAGTTCGGAACAGTGGATATCCAGGAAATGGTCTGTACTTCTGGACACTGTAACGGCCTATGGCAACAATCTTGGTTTTTCTGAAGTAGGGAAAAGTTGCTTTGTTCTGCTGGCATCCCCCTCCTCATTTACCGACACTTGCAGCCAAAACTACAGACCCCTCTGCTGCGCTGCAGTCGGCACCCAGGAAGCAATATGCAGCAGAACTCTCCTCCTTCTGCCTTCTTTTGGCATTCTGAAGAATGTCCCAGACCGGAGCGGTAAGAAATCACTGGCGGCGGCGGAGGAGAGGGCAGGCCCACCGGCTAAGGAGGACGTGCTCATGGAAGGCGTGTGCAGCGTTAGCGAGGTAGCACCGG